TTGTTGTTGCTGTTGTTGTGGTGGTGTTTTGGTGGGGTTATAGAAGGTGTTACAGGTTTCTTATTCGGTGTTCCAGGTTGCATAGGGTTTCGGTAAGGGGTGCTTTGGAGGGCTTGTACAGGTTTGAGGAAGATTTAAGACTTAGGGCTTGGCTCATAGCGCTAGTGGGCAAAATCCTGGGTTTAGCACCGTAGGTAGTTTAACCTTCAACTTTCCTTGTTCCGAGCAGTGCCGAACCATATATGAATTTTGGCAAGAAGAAGTCCAATACATCAAGGCTGACTTACGGGGGGCTTGGGCACTGTGGTTTGGGTATCGAGTTCAGACTATAGCTATGTTGTGCGTGTGGTTCAGGGCATAGGTGCTTGGTCCAGAATTAATAAATCGACAGGGAACCGCCCAGGGCTTATCATGCAAGTGAACTCTTGCCGCTGTGGCCTTGTGTTGGCAGGCTCCAACGCAGCCAGCTGCCCCATGCCAGAGCCGAACGCGCAGGCAGTGACTAGGGAACTCGTGACTAGGAGATACTGTTGATGATCTAAATCCTGCCTTACCTTAAGGACCCTAAATTATGGGAATTATGCTATATTCGTATTATGGGTAATATGGGTAATGCAGGATTTATATCATCAACCGTAGTTTTCTGGATGTAAACAAACTGGGAAATCAGCGAAGCTGTGATTTTCCAGATCTGGAGGTTGTCTGGGCCACGTCCCTAAACCCTAAAGCTTAACCCTAAACCCTAAACCTAGCATGCATGTCTAAATCCTGAGGACCTGAAGCTGAAAGGATTGAAGTCCCGAAGCCACGAACGCGAAGGTTGCATTGCCTCAAGCCCTAGGCCTAAAGCCTTACACCCTTTCCGTAAGGCCCTGACTTTTCTAGCCCGAGGCCCACGGCCTACGCCCTAACCCTCAAACCTTGCAGGTTCGTTCCGAATGCTCTGGGATTATGGCTTCCAGCCGCAGCGCACGGCCGTGCGTATCTACCTCAACGCGGTGAAGCTCATGCGAGCCTTTGATGCTTTGGAAACGGCCCGGGGAGGCTCGAGCCTTAACAATAACAATAACATATTTCGAGACGCTAGACCCAGCCTGCACAACCCTGCCGAAGCCCTGAATCCAAAACTCTCAAACCTTTAGAAAAGGGGCAATTCTGCACCCGAGGCCCAAGAGCCCGGAAATCTTGAACCCCAAATCCTAAGCCCTCCCCCGTTAGAATCATTCTGAGCTTGGTTTCTTCCCGTTTCAGAACGGTTTCATGTCGACGAAAGTTTTCAAAAGCCGGGGGGGAGGTTCTGCGAGGTTTCCGGTAATTTGGACATGGTCTTCGGTTCTCTTTTCCGTTCAGCGGTTTAAAGTTCAAAGCTCAAGTCTGGTGCTTTACTCAAACATCTCGCGAATGGTGACAAGGAAAAGGCGTGGGTTTCCGATCTCACCCGAAGCCTGTCTACAAGGAGGCCGGAAGAGGGGTAGTAGGGTTTTGGGGCTCCTTATCATAATCATAATATGGGTGGTGTGGTTGGCTGGGTACTGGTGCTGGGGGCTGGTGTTGGGTGCTGGGTGGTGGGTACTGAACTGGTCAGTGGTGGGCTGTGGTGCTGGGTTACTGGGTGTTTGGGTGGTGCTGAGGCAGGTGTGAGTTTGATCAGGTTGGCTGGTGCCTATTCTTTGGTGTGTGATTGCTCTTGACGCCCTTTGTGGTAGTGTGGTTGGGCCCTACTGAAAGTATACCCCCCAAGCCCTGTTCTAACTATTAGGGCCCCTATAATACAGCATTGTTGTGCCGAATCATAGTCTCCGGCTTTCTGCTCGGACCTAGATGGGCTACAAAGCCGCACTAACTCCTGGATCATAAGACGGCTTCGAAACAAATTCCTCAGGCCTTCGCATAACCACACAGCTGGACAGATGCTGTTAGTTACGATAGAGTTATGATGTTACTTCCAGCATTGATGCCAGCATCTTCGCTGCAATGATTGGCTACCAGGACTCGTATCAGTACCGTTTTGGCTGCTACCGGTACCAGCAACACTGGGCTCTGAAAATTGCAAACAAAGCCTCCCAAAAGCCAAACCCCAAAGCCTCAAACTTAGCACCATAAGACCCTACACCCTGTAGCGCCCTAAACAACCTATGCATAAAGCCTAAACCCCCCCACCCTACACCCCAAAATCCTAGGACACCAACCCCAAAAGCCCTAAGCCCTAAACCCTAAAACCCAAAGCCCTAAACCCCTCAAGCCTAAGCCCTGAACCCTCAACGCCTAAACCTTAAACCCTAGAACCCCCTCAAGCCTAAAACCCTACACCCCCTGAAGCCACGAGGCAGTGCTCGGGGCCCAGCAGAGCTTCCAAGGCCGCGGCGCGCAGGAGCCTTGGTGGCGCGACAACGAGGCCGGGTTTAGGGGTTTAGGGGTTTAGGGTTTAGGGTTTAGGGTTTAGGGTTTAGGATTTAGGGTTTAGGGGGTTGGGGTTAGGGGTTTAGGGTTTAGGGGTTTAGGCTTTAGGGGTTTTGGTGTGGAATTAGCGGGGTGTAGGATTCCGGGTAGGGGGAATTTTACGTTTGGTTCTTGGGCTTGCAAGTGGGCTTTCAGGCTTTTGGGGCTTAGGTCTAGGATTCAGGGAGTAGGGCTTACAGCGTTGGGTTTTCTGTGGTAAGATTCGAAGGCTCAAGGCTGAGGGCTTTACGTTTGGACTTTTGGGGTTGCGGTATCAGGCCCTACACCCTACCTTAAGAACCCCAATCCTACTTTTTTGTAGGGTCCTTATAAATCCCATATTAGGGTTTATAATAAGAACCTACAAAAAAGTGGGTTTTGGGTTCTTAAGGTAAACCCTAAACCGAGGGAATAGGGTTCGGTCAAGCCCAAGGCGCAGAAATGGAGGCCTCTCTGTTTTTTTCTGAGCCACATCCACCTGCACAAGAACCGATCTGCAACACCACTGCACTTTAATTCCGGGGCCTTAGGATTAGGATCGAGTTTTGGGGTGAATTGGATCATGATGATGCAAACGTGCCCTATAAGTTGTATCGTTCCTAATTATTCAGGCATCTACCCTGGACCTTCAAACCCTCAGCCCCAAAACCCTAAACCCTAAGCCCATTTCCCGATCTCTCAAGAGTCCTTCAGCAAATCTTGAAACCACAACAGTCAGAGTCCAGCAAGCTACGAGCGCCATTCCCGAATCACCACGTCGCTAAGCCAAAATGTTTCTGAAACCGACGCCAAATAAACTCTAAAGTTTAGGGTTGAGGCGCTACCCGCTACCCCAAACCTAAACCCTACCCAGAACCCTAAAAAACAATTCAACACTAAAGCTTTCGGTCTAGGATTTGCCCTACACCCTATCAAGAACCCAGAAGTTCCCGGTCCTAAACCCTCAAACCCTCCTAAGGGTCCTAGGTACTGCAAGGGTTTAGGGTTTAGGGATACTTTCCCAAATCAGACTAAGGATTCCTGATATAGACGCCTTACATTCTACTATATGGTTAGTTCTCCAAATTAGGGCCCTTTGCTTGGGACTCAAAAGGGGCACTGGTTTAGAGAGCCACCAATATAGGTACAGTGGACACTGTGGGATCGGACGCCCGTCAAGCACTCTGCACCCCTCCAGTCGATCAGGGCTTCCCATGGGGTGCGCGATGGTCGCCCGACACGAAGAAAGCGACATAGCCGGCAAAAGGAGCTCGGAAGGCAGGGGTTCAGGACTTATTAGGGTTGTGCTAGACGGGTCTGAATAGTTTACTGCTACTGTAGCATCCCCTTGGAGCCAGTAGATACGGATGCAAAAAGAACGTACCCCGAACCCCCCCCCAAAAAAATCCTGATTTGCTCATTACGGCCCCTGCGGAGATCGCTTGGGGATTGGGCGAGTAGTAGTGTAGTACGTGAATCCGTGTTGGAGAGCACAGAGTGCATTCGGGCTTCAGGTTTAGGTGTGGGCCGAAGCGCCTCCACACAGGAGTTCGAGACAAGTTCGCCACATGCAAACCGGGAATGATTATCAACGTTTATCGCTTTCCATTGTGACCGGCCGCGAGGGATCTGTTGAGGTTTGAGGGCTTGGTCTCGGGACATGGGATTTGATCCCTGTTGGCGGTAGTAAGCCAAACAGAGCAATTGAGATGCCCATTGCTTGGGGTTGTAGCCTAGGGCAGAAGGTTGAACTAGGGATTGTATTAGAGGGATTTAGAAGCTACACTAGCTTTCATCGCTCATGCCATCATCGGCTCAAACAGAGAGATACCGGAAAGCCAAGTGTCTCGGCGCAGGCGCGGCGGGGCTCAGGGCTAGGACGGAGGGCTTCGGCATAAGGAGCCACAGTTTATGTTCAGGGTTCTGTTGGGCTGAGGGCTTGTCATATTCTCCGAGACCACCACCTTAGACCTTAGTTGGGACAACTTCAACAAGTTGGAACTATCGAGACGCCCCAAAGCGTCTTCGTTTATTTCGGGTTTGGTGGCATTTGGGGGCTTCGAGTTTCGAATTCCACCGGCCTGGTCGCTTGATATGACATTCGCAATAATGACCCTACAGCTGAACAGAGAAGCCACAAAAATTGAAGGTTTCTGATAGTCAGCGGAGCATTCCTCGATGTTCCCCCAGTGCCGCAAAACATACACAACCTACACTCTAAACACTATTCTCCCAAACCCCAAGCTCCGTAAATCCACAAGTCCTCAGCCCGTATCTTGAACCCAAAATCCCCCTGAGCCCTAAACCCCTGAACCCTCGACCGCTACACCACAATGAACCAGGGTTTTAGGGTGTCAGGGCTTTAGGGTTCGAGGGGTTAGGGGTTTACGGTTCAAGGTTTAGGGGTTAGGGTTTAGGCAACCCTAAACCCTAAACCCTAAACCCTAAACCCTAAACCCTAGGGTTATGAAACCCAGCCGACGACACCCAGATCTCCAAAATGGGCTCTTGCTGAGAAGCAGAAGTTACCAGAAATGGATGCCTCTTTGCTGCTTACTTGGTGATTGAAACCTTAAACTGGAGTCTTAAACCCTAAGCCCTAAACCAGAATCCGCCTCAAGTTAGGGTTTAGGGTTTAGGGGTTTAGGGTTTAGGGTCATGAAAGCCCTCTTGGACCTGTAGAACCCCCTAGCTCACGACCCCCCCTTTCTGGAACAAGGGTTTTAGGGTAGCCGTTGAAGCCTCATGGAGCGCTTAGAAAAACTGCACAACCCAGTTCCAAACCCAATAATACCGTAGACCCTAACGCCCTATCCTAAACCCTAAACCCTAAACCCTAACCCCCTAAACCCTAACCCCCCAAACCCTACACCCTGAAGCCCTGAACCCTAAGACTCTAAATCCTAAAACTTAACAGGCCCGGGCTCACAAATCCGTTGCTTCTATCAGGACAGAGCCGAGCGGCGATTGTCAGCCATGCCGCGGCCGCAGCTGGATATTTAGGGTTCTTAGGTTTAGGGTTCAGGTTTTTGAGTTTAGGGTTGGGAGGTTTAGAGATTTAGGTCTTCTGGGGAGGGGTTTGGGGATTTAGGATAGACTTCAGGCGTTTCTCAGATTAGGCTTACTGTTGGGGTTCTTCATAAGAAGGCTTCTAGTACTTTAATTGGGTTCAATACGAGGTTTGTATTTAGGATCCTAGTCTTTCGGGTTCGATGCGGGAGTCCCTCACAAGACTGCCCTTTGATCTTGCTACTGATACAGTTGATGATATAAATCGGAATATACCCTAATTCCCATCGTTTAGGGTCCTTAAGGTAATGCAGGGGTTATATCACCAACAGTACCGATGGTGCTGACCATTTGGATCATGCATCATGTGGGCCATCAGCGCTTACGGTTCTTGGCTTAGCATCGCATGCAAGCATTGCCTGCCAGAACATCAGCAATAAACTCTTGAGGCCCCTGGAGATGAAATTCGGCGCCCTTTTGGGACGGGGGGCGTCCGTATCAAGGATGTTAGTTTGGGGTTTTAGGGTTCAGGGTTCTACAGGGTTTATATGCGGGATCCATTGTTTTTCTGAAATTCCAATGGTGATGCTTGATGCTGAGGTTTGCGACTACAGCCGATCACCCAACACTTTGGGATTGTGGGCCCTTATCTTTGTAACCCTCAACCTGGGAGCTAGGATTAGGGGGACCCTTGAGGATATAGACCCTCTCAATAAGGTCCCTTTTAAGAGAGCCAAAAGTAGGGTTCAGAAGGGTGCCCTTTAAGGGGTACCCCTCATAATACTACCTACTCAACCTGAAAGCACTGCACTCCCTTACAAACACTAGTCGCTAGAACCGCTCCAAACACCACACTTTGTAAAACCCAGTGGTTCCAACATAAAGCGGGATAACGAAGCCTACATAAGGCAATATCGAGCCAAGCTGATTCCGTACACCTTTGACACCACACCGTAGGGCCTTTGAGCCCACATGTTTCATAAAGATTCCGAAGTACACAGTCTGGGGAGACTTTAGTGTTAGGGTTGGAGGCTGATGGTTTCAGTCTAGGTTTTCCGATGGTTTCGCGGTGACGGGCGGTCTTTTCCCGAGTTCATCGGTCTTTTGGTTTGTTGGTACTGTGTCGTGATGCGTTTAAGCATGTTTTCGATGCCGTGTATTTGCATGGTAGACTTTGTCGGATATTCGCAGCTGTCAGCATACGGTAATATTGTTATCACATCGTCAGGCCCTAAGCCCTAGTGTTGAGTCGCTGACGGGCGTTGGATTGGGCGATTACACGTGCAAGGTTGTACAATCCTGAAGCTCAGTAGTCAGTTTAGGTGACGTGTTCCGGCTTCGTGTCCGACTGCTTGAAGATTATCGAAGCTAACGTTACAGAATGTATGTATACCGAATCTAGTTTGACTGTTTAGCTATCGTTTCGGGTAGAAGGTTGATTCGACATGATTCGACATGTGGAGTTCAGAAACGGAACCTGGAGATGTTAGGGAGATGCACCGCGGCTTCACGGTTGGATCACTCGTGCCTGCCGGTGATGGAGCGTGCTATGCATGCATGTTACATGTTACGGTTGGAGCACGCGGCGTTGCAAGGATTTTGTTTGAAACCTGCGCACCTGAGCATATTTCTGTGTGCCCTGGTACCGTAGCTCGCCCTAACACATGAAGGAAATAACCGCTCAACTCACCATAGCCTTGCATGTTGCCAGGTCGGGGAGAAACACACGGATGGCCCAATGGTGGCGGCCTCAGCGGCCACACAGAGAGGGTTTGCAGACGGGCACAATGGTTCGCAAAATTGGGAACATCAGCGGTTTTCACGGCATGTCAAAACGCGGACGCTGACACTTACTGATACCGTTGAAGCTTCAAGAGTTGGTTACGTGTTGGTGTATGTAGACGTGCATGCATGTACGCATGTAGGCATTTCGTATGTACTTACGCATGAAAGTATATGCAAACGTATTGTAATACAAATCAATGTAAATTACGGTACGTTCTGTGATGGCATGGTGTGTGTGTGTACGATGCTATGGTACGTGATATTATGTCATGTCATGTCATTTCACGCGATGTCATGTTATAATGTTATGCCATGTCATGTTACGTTTTGTTATCACTATGCTATGCTGCATTCCGTCGATAAGTGTTGCTAACGTTGCTAGTTTTTGTTATGACAAGGTGCGTTGTTGTATGTTGTGATGCTATAGTACGTGTTGTTTTGTTTTGCTGTGCTAACGGGTTTATGTTATGCTATGTTGTACAAATATGCTGTGTTTTTATCTTATGCTGCACTCGATGATGGTATTGTATGTCATGGTATGTAGCATCATATCATTATGCTGGGCTGTGTTTTGCTACGTTCGGTTCTCCTATGTTATGTGATACACACGCATACAGATAGGTAAACGTATATGTACTTAGGTATACATGTACACACCGGTATGTTCACATTTTAACACAAATCCATGTAAACACAAAATTACATACGCACGCACACACACATATACATACATGCACATAAACATGTTTTGTATATATATATATACATATACATATACCAATATACATGTTATACATATACCTTCAGTTATCTTTTCACATACATGTACGTATCTACACGTATCTACGTATCTACATAGCCGCACATCTACATGTACGCATATATGCATATATATGTATATATCTATATCTACGTCTCTTCATATTTTCATGTACCGTACATACACATGCATATGCATGAATGGATACATGTATCATTGCATTTATATACGAATGTTTGTTAGAAGAGAGCTTGCAGTTCTTGCTACACTTATAAGCAGGTTTCTTGGTTAGATGAAGCTTTCTGTTACACAGGGCCTTCTGTCAGACAAGGTTTTGTGTTTTAGCAAGGTTTTGTTTGGTTTGGCATGGTTCCGCGTGTAGTTAGTTGTATTTTACGGGAATGTGACGACAACCCCTTACATATTATTGAAGTCCAATAGCAACTACCGCTTGTGTGTGCATATATATATATATATATGCACACGTGGTCACACGTGCCAGCACTCACGACAAGAGACCGAAAGCCGAACCATAAAGTTGTGTTCGGTGCACGAGGCTGGATTATCGTGTCCGCGTGACCATTTCCGACGCCCGCATGCTGGTTGGCACATTTATGGCGTGCACCCGAGTCAGAATCCGGAATTCAATCTCTTGATGCTTGTGTTTGGGCTTGCGGCTGATTGCATTGCTGACCGCTGAAGT